AAGGCAGAGTAACCCACCGTGTGGTCAGAATTTCATTTGTTAGATTTTGATTGGTCAGATTTTGATTGGTCACTCTCTGCCTCTCCTACCTCGGTAAGACATGAAACAAAATTACCATTACAAAGCATAGCTATACAATATTTCAGACTTTCACATTCAAGGAGGACACTTATTGATTACAATAAAATTTTTTAAGTAAACTTAAATTTATTTATTGCTAGCGAATGGAAGTGTGTTTTGCGAAAAAAATCTAATTAAAATTGCTAGTATGGCCGACAAAAAACCGCCAACTTTTGATTAAGAATAATATTTTTGTACAATATTTTTTTTCCAAAATTAATTTGAAGATATTTGCGTTGCATTAAAAATTTTCACAAAGGAACAACTCTAGCAGGAAAAATGATTGGATATTGACTTTTTTTTTATTCTTGGAACAATTTCAATGGCAGCATGGAGGGGTTTTTGTCTGGCTTCTGACTACGTAAAATATTCAAAAGTAAATTTGCTTATGAATGTTTTAGATATTTTAAGACATTAAATTCAGAATGATAATGTAGTTGGACAACTAGAAGTAGATATGGTTAACTGAGTTTAAAAAAGCGTGGTATATTTTAAGCAGAACGGCGGCATATGAAATATCTCATTTTCTGCTTCTCAAAAATACCATATAGCAATAAAATAAGTTAAGATTTTAAAACAATTAAAAGAATTTTTTCATGCAATTAAAATAGAAAAATATGAAATAAACTTTTACAAAAGTACTTTTACAAAAAGGACAAACTTGCATGGATGATCCATCTAAGGATGCATACTACCAGATTTGATTCGGATGCTGAATCTGACCTACACTTTCCGGCTGAATGAACAGATTAAAGTTTTTGGTGCAGGTTTCATTTAAAAGATACTATGAGCCCAATAACAACTAAACTTGCATGGATAATACACCATAGGGTTCATACTACCAGACTTGCTTCGGATGCTGAATCTGACCTACATTTTCTGGATGAATGAACAGGTTAAAGTTTTTGTAGCAGGTTTAAATTCCAAGTTACTATTAGCCCTTTAACGACTTAACTTGCATGGATGATACATCTTAGGATGCATACTACCAGGCTGGCTTCGGATGCTGAATCTGACCTACATTGAAAACTCTCAAACATCTGTAAACTCTCAAACTAGCTTCAGATGCTGGATTTTAATTACGTTTTCATGACGAAGAACTAGGTTGAAGTTTTTATATGGATCTATTCCAAAGAATCAGATCAACATTGCATGAAATTAGCATTTTTGGATGTATTTAATAGTTAAAAGTGTGGCTTTGCCTTACTTACTTACTTGGCTTGAGCTCTGTAATCTCTGATTATCTAATTATGTTTTACTATAAAACTTAGAGAACGCAGGTCTGCTCAGGAACAATATTTACATATTTCATTGATATTTTCATTCTACACATTATATCATAATATTGAGCTTGGACAGATCTGCGCTCGGTGACTTTTGCTCAAAATATTGACGTAATATAAACCATATTCTGTAGAGATCATTGAAATTTTGAACATACGTCATTTTCCTGACGTCCTATCAATCATATGACGCCATGGCGCATGGAATTATTCAGTTCTTTGAAGTCTGCATATACCCCCTGTTTTAAAATATAATTATATATTTCTTCGTCAAATTTTGATTTTGGGGGATATATTGGCCATTGCCGCATGAAGTCCTTTGTCTAACAATGGCTCAGCTGCTATCGAGACTTCTTCCTATGTATTTCTTTGTAAAACTATCCACCAGGTTTATGATTTGTTTACTATCTGTAAATACTTCAATGTCCAGCTGTACCTTGGAGACAGTTAATCTACACTACATGCATGTAAGTTGTGTAAAAAAAATTGGTATTTAATTTTTCAATAGAGAGTAATTTTTTACATGTTTATACATGTATAAACATTTAAAGTTTTCTTCACCTAAAATACTTTGTGGACAGTTTGATTTAAATAGATGTAGTAAGCCTTTCAGTTGCCGCTAGGTGTTCGCTCTTATGAACAATAACTCATTAATGAAACATGAGCAGGTCCGAGAAATCTAACTGTTTATACCCGTCAGTTTTTAGCATTTCCCAAGTGTTTCTTTGCTGTCAGTAGAATCCGATGGTTTTAAAATTTAGCACTAATGTTAATATATTATATAATGTGTATATATATAGGAAGTGCTAAAGTATTTTCTTATTCATAACAATCGTCAAAGAGCGTTGAAATATTAACTATAGTTTGTTCCCCATTCATTTGACCCTTTTATTTCAGATAGAGTGAAGACATTCTCTATCTTTTGGTCAACACTTTTGTGTACAAAACAATGAGCGAAACCCTTTTAAGTATATTACAATACCAATGCTGAAGCATCCTATATGTCATTCCTATAAATGATAATTCTTAAATTGGAACTTTGTTGGTCATTTTTCACTCCCGAGTTACCTGTCCTTAAACACAACATCGATGTAGTCAACTACAAATAATTAAACTTTTTAATGATTTGTTTAAAGGTATGCATAATTATAAATTATTTTCTTATTTGATAACATATAAATCTATCTATGAAATGTTTTTACCATGTCTGCAACTTTAAAAATTAGTTGAAAGGCGTAGATCTAGGGAGAGTATTGGAAATGGTGGAACTTTAAAAACAACATACAAGACACGAAAGAAAACTATATACAGATAAACAAATGTAGAAAACTCTTCAGTGCAGAAAAGCTGACTCGAGCCTTTAGCTCACACGATCTAAAATTAATCATAAGAATCATGTAAATGAGGAAACTGCGTAAGATGAAACCGTGGCCAAGGTAAGTTTCGTTACTCTTTTACCGACAAGCAATGTAACAAACTCCAACGCAGGTGAGTTTTCAAATATGGACTCTTCATCTTGCTATAAAAAATAACTTTCCTATTTCAGCTTGATATGCCGAAGGTAAGCCTTTCGCAGTTTTGAGAGACACGAAATATTCTGGCATAGTCAGGGTTCTTCATGAACTGTTTTACTTTTTTGGCACCGACACAGTAAAATTTTCTCCGACACAGTAACGATTCACATTATATGCGTGCAACAGAGTAAAAATTTTGCGACACAGTTAAAGATGTGTGATAATCAGAAATAGGGAAATATAAATTATCACTAAATGAAACTTGAATAAAACATTCATACCGTCATATCTTAAAGGCAGATCACTTAAAAAATTAACTCTTAATTAGGGCTTCATTTTGCATCTAATCAATAATCTTTTGGACCCTCGCCAGATTTGACGTATGAAGGTACAAAGATAAATCATTTTATCTCACTTCCATGTTCCATGATTAACTTGTAGTTGCATTTTATTTTTAAAATCAGGTCTCCTGACAAGAATTCCCATGTGTAGCAATTGTGAAGACCCTATTTTAATATTCATAAAATAAGGAGCTCACAAATAGTTTGCAAGCGCTAAAGTCCTGTCAAACAAAACAAATCAGGATAAAAAAAAAAAAAAAAAAAAAAAAAAAAAACAACAACAACAAAACCCTCTTAAACATCAAAGGTAGAATCAAGTGACATGGAGGAGTAAGCTTCTTTTACCGACCGGACACACCCACCGTACTATATTGTCATTTTCTTGGAAAATTGCATTAAATCCGCAAGCAATTCAGTGTGTAAAACAAAATTTGTGAAAAAAAATCTGTAAGCATAATATTAAGCAGAATTATATCAAAACATGTTGTGGCCTTCTACGACATTTAGATAAATCTACAACATAATATCAGTTTATGATAGGCCCTTATAGTCTGGCATTTTGTTGTCATATATATATATGAATTTTTCTAAGAAAAAAGTTAATTGTGGCCTTCTAATAAAACATCAGATAAATGTTATAAATGTCGCAATCTTCTTCTAATAGGCTGTAGCAATTCAATATGAATTTTCTCCCAGTTGATTCGAAATACAAGGGCTTACACAGCGAACGAACATTTTTTAAACCATTAAGCTACTGATAAACAAATTGATGGTGCAAGTTCAGTCTCGTTTAAAGTCGGCATTTCGCAAGTGCTTTTGTCGTTACAATAACCTTGTCAGCAAAACAATCTGTGACTAAGCTGAATGATGTCTGATGTTTTTCATACCAACTAAAGGGCTACTGTAGATTTTTTGCATATTTTATTTTCACAAAGGTCATAAACTCTTTTTAGCTATACAAATATTTTCACGAATTGTGGTTATTACTCTATATAATCTTCAGGAATACTAATATACACGAGAATGAAATCTGCTGGCACACTATCTTGCTTTATTACACGACAATAGCTCGAGAATAAAACGTGATTTACAGTTACTGATCATATTAACTATCTGAATTCACAAAGGATTTATCTGATTCCCCGAATGTGACAAAGAGCACAATGTATGAGACCGGTCAACATGGAATGTTTACTCCTCCATAGCACCTTTTCTAGATGTAATGTTTTTGAGTCCCGTATTTGCTTAATTCTCCAATTCTTTCAATTCGTGTTGTTTCGATATACATTTACCTCGAATACTGTTTTCTCTATAATTATATAACATTCGTTTCTTAGATTTATTCTGAAAATTCCCATCGTATCTACATAAGGTGTCAGGGTTGTAGATGGGGAGCAGTGTGGGAGAAAAGGTAACACATTGTGCAATTTGACGTGTATTCCAGGTCGATATACTTGTGACGTTTGACTTATGCAAATTTTGTCTTTCAAAGACATGTAATATGAAAGAAAAATCATTTTTAGAGATCTTTAACTTTTTTATCTTTAAAAGTTTGTGACATGTGCAAAATCTAGGTCAATGGTTATTACAAGGTACATTGTGGAAAAAAATTCAAACTTTGCATAGTTCATTAAAAATATCTCCACAGCAAGTAATCGATAAGAATTGTGGAATTAAATGTGCACGCAATACAGACATGTATGCGGAAGTAGACTGATTGTCGTTAGGTGAATGAAATACCTGTTTGAAAGGACTACAAGGATTAATTAATCTGATAAAAAGTTAACGTTTAGAAGATGAACAGAAGTTTAAGTCAGTGTCCATATGAGGACTGGGATAGAGTATCAATCTCGATTTGTAATCCCTCAGAATATTTCCACTGTTTGCAAGACGAATTCGGTCGGATTGGATGGCTATGCACTCAACCAATATGGGTTGAAAAAAGTAATGATTTACAGTTATTTATGTATATTTCTTCGATTCGAAATAACGAATAAAGACAGTAAAAATTGCTTTTTTTCTCTCTATTATTTCACTTAAAAAGATTAAATACGTTTAAACTACGCATATTCATTGTAATGTACCTTATTGTATTAATAGGTAGATGTCCTGTTTACGATATTGGAGCCAAAATGCTGGATTCTATTTTCTGCAATACGACAAACTGCTCATTAGGGAATTACAAATCTAATTATGTATATAGAGGTATGTTTTCGAAAATGGTCGCGAGTATATATATATATATATATATATATATATATATATATATATATATATATATATATATATATATATATATATATATATATATATATATATATATATATATATATATATATTAAATTAATGCTTCTCCTTCTTTTGTATGAAGCTGTGCAAATATTTAGGTCATCCAAATTTATTTTAGATAAAATATTTTATTTCTTCAAGACCACATTTTTTTTGCTGCCTAGAGAAGTAAAGTTCTTTAAAGTGGCTTACATTAATATTTAATTAACCATTGTTTTTCAAATGGCTCTGTGTGTGAAAATTCAATTTAAAATTACTTGTGCTGTGCAGTTTGGCTCAAACAACCCGTGCAGCAAATAAGGAAAATACTATAGTATCTTAAAACTGTTGGTGCAAAAAGCTGGAGTAGATTTAGTGAACAAGGGCATAGGTACGATACATTCTTAATGTTTTTTTTTTTCAATTTGAGTTTAAAAAAGCACCGTATTTTGCAAACGCCGAAACTGCCTAGTATTTACGAGCATTTTTGTTATTGTTTTGTTAGAAAATGGCTGTCGCATCAACATGGAGAAAACGTAAGTTCACTTTTTTCTTAAGCATGATTACAGTTTTTTGAAGTCTTTATCTTTCTGTGCACACATAAAAATTTCGAAATAAGGAGTTTTGCATGTTTTTGTCTGATACTTTAGAAAAAAATATCTGTCTATAATATCAAAATCAGTGGTCACAAATAACTTTTGTGGTATATTTCTAAAAAAAAATATAAACTTGACATTTAAATAAATTCATCTCGATATCAGGCCCGCGGATCATGACTAAATTAGATTTATTTAAAGTAAATAAGGGAAAAAAAAAACGTTGAGTTTTTTTTCTAGATAAAATGCAGATGATATTTGCTATTGATTTTTTTAATTCATAATTTTGCTCTCTTAATAGAGAAAAAGAGAGAAGGATTATAGCACAGTTAGCACTGACACTGGCTTCACCAAAACAATGCATATGGAATACCTTGTAATAATTGCAGTCGCAATTATCCTTCTTCTCTCTTCAATAATCCTCTTTCTCTATATTAGAAAGCGGCGTAAGTGAATGTTATGTCTTCAAGTAAAAAAAAATCAAAACTAGAAAGACGCAGCATATATTTTACAAAGATGTATTAAAATTTTAGATTTTCTCATATACAACCTTTGTTGATAAACCCTAATTAAAAAAAAGTTTTCACACTTGTTATCATTCTTACTAATAAATACTATGCTATTTATGCAAAAACTCTAATACTATTTTCTTTTCACAAATGCATTTTACAATTTGATTTCAACCAATTAACCGGATTTGCCAGAGTCACGCCAAACGTTCAACTTTGATATCCTTTTGAAATGTTTAAAATATAAATTTTTTCAATCATAGGTAATTCTTCTCGAGAAATACCAACATCAGAACAAGATGGAGGGGAAGGTATTAATCTATCCCTTCTAATGGACACTTCAAATGATACATTTACCCGCGCAAGAAGTTGTCTTGCTACAAAGAGGTTTGTTGTTCTCAGAGGGGTTCAGGGATCCGGGAAAACATACTTAGCGAAAAAATTAGCTGATAATATCAACCAGATATCTAATACCAAATGCCAAGTACACTGGATCCATGATGTATTGGAAAATGGAATACCTAGGTTAACAAACAAAGCATTGTTTGTTTTAGACGATATGTTTTACGAACTGCAGTCCAAGGATGAAATTCAGGGCCTAATAGAAAAAGTAAAAGAGCTCTTTGATAATGTTTGTTCGTCAAAAAGGTTCTACGCTATTGTCACAATTCCAACATTAACATGGAAGATACATTCAGATTATTTTCAAAATGAAACATACTTTACTAATTATGTCGATCTAGATACCTTAAATACAGAAGAAAGACTAGAGATTTTTAATCAACATCTAAATCGTAGCGCTCTTAAAAAAGAAGGAGATCCAACAAAGTATAAACTCATAATGAAAGAAAGTGTTAAATCGGCTATCATAGATTTCGAAAGATTTGACTACTAGTATATGGGATATCCCTCTTGTGTAGCTTGGATCTGTAGAATGCAGAATCAAATGGATTTGCACGATGCACGTAGATTTATTGAAGTTCCAATAACCAGAATCAAAAGCGAGATTTCTCGTTTACTTGACTCAAAAAATACTAAACAGAGAAAAATGTTCACATTGCTTGCATTCATGGCTTTCAATAATGGAAAACTGAACGTCAGAGAATACGATGAGGATCTCCTTATGGAGTTTGCCAGAATTTTTTTTCCATTTGATAACTGTAGAGAGTTTACCCTACAGGAAAACGACCCAAGTGTCTTTTCACTTCAGGAAAAGTATATAAGGCATGTATCTGATGGAATCTATGAATTTTACTTGGATATTGTGAGAAAAATAGTCTTAGTAATATCCTTGGGAAAAAACTTTGAATCTTTAAAGAAGTATGTGAGCCAAGATATGCTGAAGTGCATTGTCTTGGAAAGAGGCAAATTCCATCTGATTTAACCGTTGGTGAACGATCACATCTTTTTTTCAAATTGTAGAATAGTTAATAAACTTTAAAATTTACAATTCACATGTCTTTCTATTAAATTATCAATAGATGATTTTACATTTTTGTCTCTTGACAATGACTTCCAGAAGATATGCTTAATGCCTTCAAGGAGTAGCATCCTGAAATATTTCGCAGTCAAATTTTGTATTAAAATTTCTCAATGATATGACATTATCTAACATGGTCATTATTACAAAAACGAAATAAATAAAAAAATTAAAACAAATACGTGTAAAAAATATGTACTGTATTAAACGTGGTAGTTAACGGCCATATAAGACTCCTTAAAAAAATGAAAGCAAAATCACAGGAAAAGGTTGATGTTTTATAATTCAGAATTTAATTGTATCTTTAAGAAAAGTTTATTGTCTGGTTTAGGATTCGATAAAATATTCAAGTATATTTGCTAAATATGTTTCTTATATAATAAGATGTAAGGAATTTAAAAGAAAATATGTTTCTCTCCTTCTTCTTATTATAAATTTAACGTTCACGGTAGCTCAGTCGGTAGAGCGCTCGCTCCGTGATCGGGAGGTCGTGAGTTCGCATCTCGGCCGCATCTCGCATATCGACTGACCTAAGTCGATAAAAAATGGGTAGCAACTGTTCCTTCGCCATGCGCTCGGCACTTTGAAGTGAAAGTTGCGGATCCTTCGGATGAGACCTTAAACACTGAGGCCCCGTGTCAGCGGCAGGCGTAACACGAAAAAGATCCCTCACTGCTCAATGACCCTGAGTGCCGAGTAGAGGTCAAAATTTGAAGCCCTTCACCGGCATACGGTGACGTCTCCATATGAGTGAAAAATTCTCGAGAGGGACCTTAATAAATATACAATCAATCAATCAATATTATAAATTTAAAACAGAATTGGTTAACTTAGTTTGAAATCATGCAAGCAAAACTGATGACTGTAAACGCGACTGATGATAATCTTGTTTCACCAACTTGTCGATCTGTTAATAATTTACCTCGTTTTAGAAATTCTTCATACGTAGAGCATGCTCTAGCGTATCGAATCAATCGAGATATATAAACTCCGTATGCAGGTAATAAAGGTACTTGTATATTGCTGCACAAGTAAAGGGAGTTGACGATAGAAAAGTTGAAGTCGTCACCTTTTTACAAATGCATAGAGCTTGATTGTTAGGTAAAAAACTTTATAAAGAGATTAAAATTTAAAAAGTAGAAGTGTTAATACGACTCAACAACGGATATGCAAGTTTCATATACATGTATGTTTAAGTCCAAGATTAATGTAAAAAAATAATTGGCGGATAGGGCATAGGAATAGATTCACATATTTGCTACATCTAATTTTTTTCTTATCATATACCCACAGGATGAAAAGCCAGGTTTCCCAAATTTGGAAACCCGATGGAAACGTATGGGAATCGTGACATCAGTAGTTTCCATATAGTTTCCAATTTATGGAAACCACATAGTGGTTTCCACATAGATTCCCGACATGGAAACAATCAACCTGTGGTTTCCCGTAAGTTTCCCAAGATAGGAAACCATGGAAACATACCCCGGTTGTTTCCACATAGATTCCCGACATGGAAACAATCAACCTGTGGTTTCCCGTAAGTTTCCCAAGATAGGAAACCATGGAAACATGCCCCGGTGGTTTCCATGTAGATTCCCGATATGGAAACAACCAACCTGTGGTTTCCCGTAAGTTTCCCAAGATAGGAAACCATGTAAACATGCCTCAGTGGTTTCCATACAGATTCCCGACATGGAGGCCACCAATGTGTAGTTTTCCCCATGTTTCCCAGGCAGGGAAACTTTGAAAGTATATCTCAATACTAACCCACCTACCTTTTATTTTACAAAAAGTTAAATATTTAATTATGTTACCATATTTTTACCAATTATAGAAATATTTCAAAAGTGTTTACATGCTGTATCAAAATAATTAGTTTCAAACAGTTAAAATAACTAGATGTGTATTTCTGTGTGATTAATTTAATATTTCAGCACTGTGAACGCAATTCAATTGTAATTTAATTTTATTTAACTGAATTATATTTAATTTAATTTAATTTTGAATTTGATTTATCACATAAGTTTTGGTAAACTCGTATAGAATGCGTGAAGTGGAATAGAAAAAAGTAAGTGCATGCAGCTATGTAGAAATCAATCATTTCCGATCCCACTTTCTTGAAGCTGTCTATGATGAATGTTCCTTTGAAAAAATGGAAGATCGAGCTAAGGAAGGGTACATTTAATGAAATTATTTACAGAAAAGGTTTACTAAAAAGATCGATTAAAAAGTAAATAAAGAAATATGTCAAGTTACGATTACTGATTAAGGACAGGTGAGACGTTCCTCAATAAAATAATTAAAATTTTTTCCAATATTTTGCAATTGACATTGAAGAATTATTTTTACATAATTACATGTATTCACAAGACATCAAGGTACCTTACCAGGCATTTGTGTTAGATAACAGAGGTTGGCATTTCTTATATACCGGGGTAATCCGTCAGGAAAAAAAAATTCTTCAGTTGGTTTGTCAAAATTACATTTTTAGTGTTTCAAGTTTTTAAATACAAGTTTAGAAAGTGATAAAGATTTTGTTTTAATATGAATTAATATATTAATATAAACTGGTCAGATAAGAATCATTCATCGAATTGGTTGGGGCTGAGTATTATCATACTAGTATTTTACTATTAATAGTGAATATTGTTTTTTTTTTTAATTTATTAAATAATTATCTTTATTATTGGGGGTAGGTGGGTTGCTTTTCATTTTTTCCTTGAGAAGCCCTCACCCCCCCCCCCCCCCCCCAAAAAAAAAAAAAAAAAACGCTTTTGAAAAAGTCACTATGGTCGGCCTGTGTAATTAGGGACACCTGTCCTCACGTGCCATTTCAGGTGGAGACAAGTGCCGCGAAGACACCTGTCACTGTGTATTTTTTGTATATTCTATGTGAATTGAGACGGTTTTCCACCTAAAGGGAACAATGGGCTGTTGTCGAGCATGTACACACACAGTCTCCGACCGAAAATTCTTTTAAATTAAGATGTGATTCGTGTTTCTTTTATCATTTAAAAAATTGTATATTCCATAAATAAAGTTATACAAGAGAACATATTTATAAAATAACCTATATTTAAGAAGTTCAATGAAAGAACAAACTATTTAGAATTTTTATTTCAATTTTCATTACTGATTTAAAATAAAACTATCCTCTTTAGAAATTAAATAATTTTCTATAGGTATTGAATAGATCTTAATTCTCGTCGTGTATAATTATATTAAATCAGAATGACGTTAATAGATCAATGTGAAATCAAAACTGTATTTAATATTGTTGATGGGTTTTTGTGTGAAATTTGTAATCTAACGTACTACAAAGACATTTATTAGATAAATGTTTATAATATAATTCATCACATAAAACGTTTTTCTTTTTTTCCTTTTTTTGTTTAAATATGTACGCAGATCCCCGTGTAGTAAACGCCTGCACTTTTCGCATGAAATTACAATGTAGGGTCCTAAATGCACATGTATACATTATATTTAACAAACTTTAAAATTTTCAGCCATTTTTTTTCTCCAAAGGCCATTGCTCTAGATAAAGAAAAGTCTATAATATTTTGCATGATTTTGTTTTCCTTTAAGAACAATGGCTTTTAAAGTAGTACATGCTAAGGCAATCTATTAAAAGAATTAATTGTATAATTAATTCATTGTATAGTTGTCACGATTGTATTTTTGTGCAGTTTTTGTTGATTTCATTCTATAAAGGTATGAAGTTTGTCAATACTTCAACAAACATTCTTTATCTATGTTGTACACTACATTATTTTTATTCGCCGACATGCTACTCTTTTTTAAAAAAAACTTGCGTGACTAATAGACTCGATCTTCAGGCCTGTAGCATGTGTAGGAAAGTAATTTCCGTTAGAGTAATAAACTAACCGGGATTTTATTTTTACTAGCATACCTTACCAGATTTCTTAACGAAAAAAAAAAAAAACATTAAAAGAAATACAGGGCGGGACCAGCTAAAGCTGTATGCATAAGTACAGCCCTGTACATCAACGAGTATAGATGACTTTCGACATAATCTTTCCCTTGACTTCACTTATACCAATCACGACTAAAATACTGAATAAAAATACTGTTAGTATATTTTCCTGCCTTTGATTAGATGTTAGTTTTGTTCCACCTGGAGATATAACTCTCCTAAGAAAAAGGTTTTCAACATTCTGATTCATTTAACAATTTTACGTGTTAAAATGATGTGGGAAATTTTTTTAGCTAAAGGCCAAGGAGTTTAAAGTGCAATGTACATGTAGGAATTAGAGAAAAGCCTAGCAGGTCCACCAGTAATATTGATAGCAGGCTCAAAATCTAATTAAACACCGAAAAGGAGGGAGTTCAATAAGTAATTTAACCCCCCCCCCCAAAAAAAAAAAAACAAAAACAATTTATTAGCAATGAATTATTAAACACTGAACTTTTCAATCATCACTATTGAAATAAAAAAACTGTTCTTGATAATCATATTATAATTGTAGCTCATTTTCATGCCTTTTAGGAAACCTGTGGAAAGTTTACAATAAAAAAAAATGTGCTTTTAAAAAGTTAACATCCTTTGGTGTGACATTACAAATTCATAATCATACATGTAACAGTTAAAAGAAGCGGGGAGAGGGGGGGTTACTTTCAGCAAGGACGGCCACTACCAAGAACCAAGCCCCGAAACCCATGTCCCGAAGGCAAATAAGTTGAGGTGTCAAGCAAGAAGCAATTTTTTTTTCTGCTCTTGCCTCATGTATTTAACCGCTTTTTTTCCCTAAATATACTAGGCCCACACATCATATCGGCAAAAATATTTAGGAGCCCCTCTTTTTATTCTATGAAAAGGGGAAAACTTAATTAAATTCTAATATAAGATCTCATAATCACACTTAATCATAGTGAATGTAAAC